AAAAAGAAAAAAGCCGGAAGTGGTGCTGTGGCTCAAGTGGTAGAGCTCTAGCCTTGAGCTGAAGAGCTGAGGGGCAGCGTTCAGGCCCCATGATCGGACCCAAAAATAAGAGTCTCACAGACTTTCCTTGCCCAGCCTGACTTCCAGCCGCAGTCCTCAGATCTCAGCCTCCTGAGTAGCGAGGGTGACATGCGTGAGCCACCGCGCTGGGCGCAAGGTTCGGTTTTAAAGAGGAAGCCCGGCATGGGCCCAGCTCAGGGTGAGGTGCCAGCCCCCCCATGCCAAGCAGAACCCGCGTGCATTGAGCTCGTTGTGCTGGCCACGCTGGACGGCTGCACCCCGAGGCTGGAGCCCTGGTCACACACGGCCTCCCCGGGATGGGGGCCCCCCCCATCATGTTCCGGGCTTTATTCTCAGCTCGCCAGCCGTGGCCAGCCGCCACTCCCCACTGCGGGTTTCCCAGCAGCCCTTGGGGCCAGGCCGCTCCCGGCCTTTACAAAGCGCCCATGCCCCTCCCGGCCTGGCGCCCGCAGCCCGCCCTCCTGGGTGGGGTTCAGCCCCCCATCCCCCCTCCCATCCCTGCCCCCAGGTCTGTCTGGGAGTCTCAGAGCCTTGGTGCACCTGCAGAGCAACTTATAGACTGTGTGTGTGTGCGTGTGTGCGTGCATGCATGTGTGTGTGTATGTGTGTGTGTGTGTGTGTATGTGTGTACCATTCTCGCATCTCATGGTCTTTCCTTCTACCAAATCCCCAGCCAGCGCGCCAGCCGCTGAGTCCCCTTCCGCCTGAGCCACCGCCCCCCCCCCCCAGCCCCTGTGTGTGAGTTTCGTGCTTCAACCCAGTCTCCTGAGTGGCTGGTATTGCAGGCATGCACGACCATGCTCTCCGTATTGGTGATACAGACACTTCACACCAGATCGCTGTCTGGAATGTTCCATGCTGCGTGGAGCCCCGCTGTGTTGGGTAGATCAGTGCTATGCATCCCATCTCTCACAAGCTTGCGTCGGCTCCGGTCAGGTGTCCTGCACCCCTCCGATAGCTGTGTGGTGTTGAGGCTGTTATTAGCCTCTCTGGTCTTGAATGCGTGGATCAGGTGGGGCGGAGCTCCAGCTATGCTTCTATGGCTCCCGAGCTGCGGCCCCGGCGATGTCTATGGCCCTGGTGGACCTGCTGCCCCCGGGCCTTTGCATGGGGTCTAGCCAGTGAGGTGGGGGGGGACACCGGTGTGCACCCTGGCTCCACTGCTGGCCTCCAGCTCGATCAGGGGTCAGCATTGGGGTCCCCCTGACCCCGCACCTGCTTTCTCCTAGCGAGGAGCTCAGCACTGAACGCCTTCAGGTTCAGATCCCGGTCCTGTCCCTTCCCGGCCCGGCCTGGCCGCTGGGCCGTTGTGTTTGGCAGCCTCGTGTGCGCGTGCGCGCTCTCCCGGCAGGGCTCCCGCTGCTGTTTATTTGTGAAGCGGGAGCCCACGCGGAGTGACAGCAGCAGGCCAGCACACCCGGGGCGGCTCCTGCGCTCCGCCCGGCCGCTCCTGTTCTGGGAGCCGCTGTCCCCGCAGCGTGCCGGCCTCAGGGGCGCCTCCGGCCCAAAGCCAGCGCCCCAAGTGCTCTTGGCACTCACAGACAGAGGCCCGCCATGCCGGCCTGCTGAGCAGCCTCTGAGCACTGGAGCCTCCCCTCTTCCCCCCCTCCTGCCCCCCTTCCCCTGTTTGGTTTTGCTTTCTTATAAATAAGGCTTTGATTGGAGTTTATTGCTTTTCAGATCGGGTCTTACGCTTTTGCCCAGACCAGCTTTGGGCTTTGACTTTTCCTGCGCCCCCCCCCCCCCCATCCTGCATCGCCGGGATTACAGGCGTGAGCCACTATTCCTGGCTCTTACTGTGTTTTGAGATAGGGCCTTGCTAACTGTTCGCTTCTGCCGGCCTCGAACTGCGATCCTCCTACCTCTGCCTCCCAGGGAGCGGGGGTGACAGGCGTGAGCCGCGGTGCTGGGCTTGGGTTTGTTTTGTTTTTCATGTTTGTCGGGTCTTGGCTCGCGTTATCATCTGGGGGGGGGGCTTTTCTGTCACTGGCTCCTCTGGCCCGGCCTGCCTCCCCCCCTTCTTCCTGGCCTCTGAACCTCTGCTTGTGGATGGAGGGCTCTAGTTTTCGGCTGGTCGTGGCGCGGCCTTTGGTGGAGAGAAGCGGACAGTGGCGATCTTGTTTTCCAGCCTCGTGACCCCGCGTGCAGTCACCCTTCATGACTTCCGCTCCGCTGCACCCCCAGCCCCCCACCCCGCCCCGCCGCGCCAGCCACGCGCGTGGGTGTGGAGCCTGATCCCCGGGGACCTGAGGACGCTCGGAGTTCCTCACCCCCACGAGAGGCCCCGTACCCCACACGCGTGACCCTCGCTGCCCCTTGGGCAGGGTGGAGGCGGGGGGGGGCTCAGCCCAGCCTCCTCCCCGCTCTCGTGGCTCCGTGCCCGCGCTGGGTTGGCTTCTGAGGCCCCCGGGGAAGCAGGAGGGGGTGGGGGGAGGCCGTGGGGCCCTTGAGTGGGCCTCAGCGAGGGACCCCCCCCAAAGACAGCCACCACACATGTTGGGTCCTGGGATTCGAACTCAGGGCCTGGATGCGGACCCTGAGCATTGTTCGCTCAAGGCTGGCGCTCTGCCACTTGGCCACAGCACCATGCTCAGTTTTCTAGTGGTTTATTGGAGACCAGAGTCTCACGGCCTTTCCTGCCCGGGCTGGCTTCGAACCGCGATCCTCAGGTCTCAGCCTCCCGAGGAGCGGGGATGCCAGGCGCAAGGCACGGGCGATGCTTGGGGTCCGCTGGGGTGCTCGCCCCTCCTTCTGTGGAAGAAAGTTCTGGTGCTGGTCAGCTTTCTCCTTCTTCCGCCCCGCCGGCCGGCCAGGCTGGGCTGAGGTCAAGGCTGGCCAGCTGGCAGGCAGGAAGCCCCGCCCGCCCGCCCGAGCTGCTGAGCGCGACCTCACACGCCCTCTCTCCTGCATGCAGGGCGGGCGGCTCGGGTCACGGGGTACCCCCCCTCTGCCCAGCCTGCCCAGCCCTCACAAAGCCTTCCCCCCGTTCCCAGCAGACACCCCACAAAGCCCCTCTTCCTGTGTTAGCTTCCCAGGAGCGGGGATTACAGGCGTGCGACATCACACGCGGCTTTAGTTCCTTCTTCTGAAGCTCTTGGATCAGAGGTCTTGATCCGGGCCTTTTGTGTTGTGTTTGGAGCCCGGGGCCTTCAGCCTTCGGGGGGGGGGGTGCTGTCCCCCAGCTGGCCCTGGCCAGCGTGCTGCCTTTTGATGGAAAAAAAATACTGCTTCCCTCACTGGCTCTTTAACAGTTGTGTTGTCGGTCGTGGGGCTCGAACTCTGGGCCTGGGCGCCGCCCCTGAGCCCTTCTGCCCACGGCGAGCGCTCCACCACCTGAACCAGGGCGCCACTTCAGGTTTTTGAGAGGCTGATTGGAGATAAGTGTCTCTGGGGGAGTTTCCTTCTCAGGCAGGATTCGAACCGTGATCCTCAGACCTCAGCCTCCCGCGTAGCTAGGGTGACAGGCGTGGGCCCCCGGCGCCCGGCTCGCAGCTGGATTTTCTAGAGCTGTGCGTGGGTCGCACCGGGCTCCCGTGGGGCTGCGCGCGGGAGCTGAGGTCGGGGGGCTGGCGGCTCCGCGCAGGCGCCCTGGGCATGAAGAGTGACCGGCGCAGCGGGCCAGGGCGTAGGGCGGCTCAAGCGCAGGGCCCCGAGTTCAAACCCCAGGGCCGTCCACAGAGCAGCGGGGCGCTGCGGGCGTGGGGAGCGGGCAAGCGGGGCGTCTGACCCCGCCCGCCTTGTGTCCCCAGGACTGGAACATCACGTGGTACAACAGCAACCCCGACTTCACCAAGTGCTTCCAGAACACGGCGCTGGCCTGGGCGCCCTGCGCCTACCTCTGGCTCTGCTTCCCCCTCTACTTCCTCTACCTGTCCCGCCATGGCCGCGGCTACATCCAGATGACGCGCCTCAACAAAGCCAAGACTGTGAGTGCCTGCGCCGCAGGCGGGGCCACGGGGGGGGTGGAGCGGGGAGTAGAGATGGGGTCGCTGGGAGGGGACCTGGGTTGGGGGCCGGGTCGCTGCCCCCTCCCCTGGGCGGGCCGCCCCTTCCCCGCTGGCCAGGGGCGTCTGCGGACCGCGCTGTGGACCCGAAACTCTGAGAGCACTTTGTACAGTTTTGGGTTTTTTTAAAATAGTGAATGAGGTTTCCTTCTTGCTCAAAGCCACCCTCCAGGGGAAGGAGGCCCACATGAGGGCCCGGGTCACATGCGCCAGGCCCCGGGCCTCGCGCCACTCAGCTGCTGGTTCATAGCAGCCACAGTGCCCCCCCCCCCTCGCCACAGGACCTTTGCACTGCTCACTCCCTCTGCTCTCAATAGTGCTTTCCTCCTTTTTCTTTTTTGCCAGTCCTGGGGCTTGAACTCTGGGCCTGGGCGCTGTCCCTGAGCCTCTCTCTGCTCAAGGCTAGCACTCTACCACTTGAGCCACAGCGCCACTTCCGGCTTTTTCTTTTTGCTTATGTGGTGCTGAGGAGTCGAACCCAGGGCCTCAGGCATGCGAGGCGAGCGCTCTACCACTGAGCCACCTTCCCAGCCCCATCCTTTTCCCTCTTTCTGAGACAGGATCTCCCAGTGGAGCCCAGGCCCACCCAGAGCTTGGGCTCAGGCTGCTGGGTGCCGGGACTACAGGCGTGCACCACCACGGCCAGCAGCCCGTCTTTGAGGCCTGCGTGGGTCTGTGTGGCAGGGCCACAGACACGCCGGACCGCGGCCCGAGGCGGAGCTGTGGTGGTCTTCCTGGCGAGTGACGCCCGGGAACCCGCGGCTCGTCCGTCCCGCGGGGCCGGCGCTCACTGGGGGGGTCCCCCCTTTCTTCCAGGCCTTGGGGTTCCTGCTGTGGGTCGTGTGCTGGGCAGACCTGTTCTACACTTTCTGGGAAAGAAGTCAGGGCACGCCGCTGGCGCCGGTGCTGCTGGTCAGCCCCACGCTGCTGGGCATCACCATGGTGAGTGGAGCTGCCCCCCCTCCCCAGGTCCTCCTGGAGGCGGGGACTACAGGTGTGCGTCACCACGCCCAGCCGTGATGCGCCACGCCACAGAGGAGCCTGTCCCGAATTGTACCGCGTCGCGCATGCGCGTGTGTGTACGTGTGTGTGTGTGTGTGTGTGCAGGGGTTGCCGGGCCTGGTGCCCCCACAGCACACCTCACTTTCCAAGGTGTCCAGGCTGGGTTTCTGGCTCCTGTGGGCAGACGGTTGCCCCGCGGGGCCCTGGGGCTGGAAGAGCCCCCACATGAAGGCACCCAGTGTGGGTGCCACGGGCTGGCCCTGGGGGACTGAGCAGGGGTCCGCCAGGCTCAAAGCTGAGCAGGATGCTGGGGTTGAGTTCAGGCTGGCCAGCTGCCAGCAGCACGTGCAACGGTCCTGGGGTCGGAGAGGAGGCCACGGTGGTGTGTGCGGCGGGGGGGGGGGGGGGGGAGGGGAGCCATAGGCACACGCACGTGCGTGCACACATGTTCACACAGTCACACACACACAGTGGACGCAGGGGGACGTCAGGGCCCGCAAGGCCTTGGACGACGCTCCTGCGATTCTGAGCGCCGCCTGTGCTTTTCCTCTGTGTGTCCGTGCGTGCGTCTGTGTGTCCGTGCATGTGTCTGTGTGTCCGTGCGTGTGTCTCTCGCAGCTGCTCGCCACCTTCCTCATCCAGCTGGAGCGGAGGAAGGGGGTGCAGTCGTCAGGGATCATGCTCACGTTCTGGCTCGTCGCCCTCCTCTGCGCCCTGGTCATCTTGAGGTCCAAGATCATGGCCGCCTTGCGAGACGTGAGTGCCCCAGCCGGGCCTGGCCTCCCCCCCACCCCCCACGCCTCCCTGGCTCACCTGCAGCTGGTGTTCTAGAACCTTCTTTGCCCAGGGCTCCCTCTGCAAAACTCCACGGGCCCACGCGGGCACCTCGCTCGCCCTCCCAGCATGCCGCGGGGTGTGGCGTGGCTCTGCCTGGCACTGGGCGCCCCAGTGAGGACAGTCACGCCCAGATGTGCTCGTAGGAGGGGAAACTGAGGCAGGGAGGCGCTCAGTGAGTCCGGTCCCCCCCCCCCGCAGGGTGCGCCGGTGGACGCGTTCCGCGACGCCACGTTCTACGTGTACTTCACCCTCGTGCTCGCGCAGCTCGCGCTCGCCTGCTTCTCCGACCGCGCGCCCCTCTTCTCCGAGACCATCCATGACCCGGTGAGTGTGCACGCACGCGCGTGCACGCGTCAGGGAGGTCAGGGAGAGCAGGAGGCGTGCATGCGTGCGTGCGTGGGACCTGCTGGAGGTTAGAAAAGCCACGTGTGATCCAGGCGCCAGTGGCTCCCGCCTGTCATCCCAGCTGCTCAGGAGGCTGAGAGCGGAGGATCGCGGTTCGAGGCCAGCCCAGGCAGGAAAGAATGTGAGACTCTGATCTCCCATGAACCACCAGAAAACAGGAAGTGGCGCTGTGGCTCCAGTGGTAGAGCGCCCGCCTGGAGCTGCAGAGCTGAGGGACAGCGCCCAGGCCCAGAGTTCAGGCCCCACGACTGACCAAAAAAAAAAAAAAGTGTTGGTGGTTTTGGGCCGCAGAGCGCAGGGCAGGTGCTGAGGGGCGCGGAACCCCAGCCGCACCCCCCTCCCGTCCTGCTGCATCTCACGGGCCTGGGTTGTGGGGTGCGCTGGGCCCTGAGGGGTGTGGGTTTGAGTTTCTGTCTCCTCTGTGGGTGTCTGTGCAGCCTCTTCCTCCTGCTCCTCCCCCTTCCTCACCAGCTGCCACGCAGATCTGGAAGGAGGCTCAGCTCAGGCGCTGGCCTGACCCCCCGGGGGTGGGCAGCAGGAGGGAAAGGTCCTGCAGCGTGTGGCCGAGGAGGGGGTGGGGCCGGGCAGTCCCAGCAGAGCCGTGGCCGGTGCAAAGGCCCTGGGGCGGGATCTTCAGGGGATCTTCAGGGCAGCCCTGTGCTGGGACCCGAGGCAGGGGAGGCCGTGCCAGCTGTTTGGCTCCGAAGCCTCGTGGCTGGGAAGCGTGTGGAACATTCCACCGCTGCACTGGGCTGGTGGCTCTCCAGCTGCCGGCTTGGGGGGAAGTTTCTCGGCGTCCCTGCTCTCTGGATTTGGGGAAGTTAGCCGAGCTCAGCAGCTGCGTGTGCGCGTGGACGTGTGTTCAGCTGCGTGTGCGCGTGCTGGGTGTGCACAGGTGTCCCCCCCCCCCACAAGCCCTCTGCAGGGATGCCCGTGTCTGTCACGGCCCTGACCTGCACGCAAGCCCACACGGAACCCCCCGGGGTTGCTCTAAACGTGACTGCGTCCCCGGGGGGCTCCCCCTGGAGGATCGGTCTGCCTGGGCTTTCTCGGAGGTGAGGTCAGGCCTCGTGTCGGCTTGGCACATGCGCAAGGATGCTCCTGTGACTGGGCTGGGGCTGCAGGCGTGCGTCGCCACGCCCGGCCATCGCTGGCGCTGGGGTCTCTGTGCAGGCCGGCCTCGAGCCTCCCAGTGGCTGGGGCCTCAGGTGCCACCCCCCCACCCCCGGCGGCCCATGGTCCCCCCCGCAGGGTTCTGGGGTAGCAGGAAGGGAGGGAGGGGGTGCGGGCTGAGTCCCCCTCCACCCATCGCCCCCATCTGAGCAGCTGGCACACTGCAGGTCTCAGCCGGGGCGGGGCCTCCTGGCCGCCGGCCAGTGCTGACTCACCCGCGGCCATTCGCTGGCCCCGGGCCTTCCTTTCTGTGACTCACGTCTGTTTGTCCCCGCTCTGGCTCCCCGCTCTCCTGCTCTTCCTTCTCCCTCCCAGTCCTGCCGCCCGCCGCAGCCCTCCCCAGCCCGAGGGGGTGGGCGGAGGGAGGGGGGATGGGGATGGGGGGGTCCCCGCCAAATAAGGTCATTAATGGCCACCTGTGAGCCCTGCCTCAGCCCCCCCCCCCCATGCTGGGACTTGAACTCAGGGCCGGGGGCACGCATCCTCATTGGCTTTTGAGGCTGGTGCTCTCCCCCTTGAGCCACCGCTCCATGTCCGGCTTGGTGGTGGCGAACTGGAGAGAAGAGTCTCGCTGACTTTGTGAACCTCCTGGCTCTCAGCCTCCTGGGAAGCTGGGGTTGCAGGCGGGGGCCACCCGCCCAGCTTTGCTCCCATTGTTGAATACTTCCTTCAATTTCGTAGTAGCTTGGCTCAGAAATGTTACAAAAAACAGTCGTGTTCCCTCCCTCCCTCCCTCCTTCCTTGTTCTTTCTCCTCCCTTTCTCCTCCTGCTCTGCTGGCTTCTCCCCCTCCCTTCTCCTCCTCATCTGGTCAGCATCCCAGCTCTCCATTGGTTCCCTGGAATCTGGTGTGCTTCCGTCTACCCCAGGGCCTTTGCACACCCCGGCTGGCTATCTGCTAGGCGCGTCTTTGCCTTCTGCTCAGTCATTCTGCGTGGTCCGGCCTTGCGCAGCTGTCCTCCGGGAGGCCGATTCCCGCCCCGCTCAGCAGACGTGGCCGCCTGGGCAGCCTTGCCGGCCTGGGAGGCAGCTCTTGTAGTTACAGTGTAGATGCGTGTGTGTGTGCACGCATGCCTGACGACTTGGAGCCTGGTTGTTGGGGCGGGGGGGCATTTTATCCCGGGCGGCCCCGTGTCCTGCGCCGCAGCATGGCGTGGCGGGCCCTGCCCCGGTCGGTGGGAGGCGCCCACGCAGAGCCGGTGGCGTGAGGTGGGTCCCGGGTCAGCGCTCCAGCAGGCCGGCGTCCCGTCCTCTCTGTCCAGCTCTGTGCCCGCAGTTCTGGGCACATAGTAGGTGCTCAGGAAATGAACCTGATGGATGAGTTGAATGAAAGGAGACGGAGGTGACGGCTTTGGGGCTCTTTGGGGCGTCCTCAGCACATAGTAGGCGCTCAGTCAACGCCGGAGCCGTGGGAAGGGCGGGGGCGGAAGGAATGTGTTGTGTGGGGTGGGCACATAGTAGGTGCTCAGCGAAAGCTTGCTGTGGAGTGGAGGCGGTGTGAGGGGGCATTGGCGCCCGGGGTGGCCGTGGGGTAGGAGGCAGGGAAGTTCTTGAGCCAGGCGGGACTGGAGAGAGCCTGTTTCGGGGCGCAGAGGCAATGGGAGGGCGCCGGTCCCCTGAGCGTGGAGGGTTGACGTCTCTCCTCTCCTGCGCTCCCCTGTGCTAGAACCCGTGCCCGGAGTCCGGCGCCTCTTTCCTGTCCAGGATCACGTTCTGGTGGATCACCGGGTGAGCAGGCCGGGCCCAGGCCGGGGCGGGGCGGGGCGGGGCTGGGAGAGTGCGCAGCCCACAGGTCATGGGTCTGGGCGGTGAGCACGGGGGCGGGGCAGCCTCCGACAGGGGGAGAGGCACTGGCAGGCGGACAGGCGGACAGGTGGACAGGCGGCAGGGACACGGCACACCCCAGGAATGGGGGGGCATGGGGCACTTCTGCAGGCTCCATGGACACGTCAGGGTTGCGTTTCCTTCTGAGCACATCCACACCCGCAGAGACACAGGCCGGGCGCGGTGGCGCACGCCTGTCATCCCAGCCACTCAGGAGGCTGAGAGCTGAGGATCTCGGTTCAAAGCCAGCCCAGGCAGGAAAGCCCTTGAGACTCTCGTCTCCCCATGAGCCACTAGAAAACCAGAAGTGGCGCTGTGGCTCAAGCGGTAGAGCACCTGTCTTGAGCTGCAGAGCTGAGGGGCAGCGCCCAGGCCCAGAGTTCAAGCCCCACGACCAACCAAAAAAAAAAGCTACAGGACCAGCATGCTTTGCAGCCTGCAGCTGACCCACGCACATCACCTGCTGCACGCTGTGGGCCGCACAGGAGCGAGTTCCCCGACCCCTTGCTGCACATGCGCGTAGCCCCAGATCCTCCCCCCCCATCCCCCGGTCCCCAGCATTTCAGAAAACAAAACTCAGCCAGGCCTTGGCCTCACTCAGCCTCCATGCCTGGCCTCTTCTCCCCGGAGCCCGGCTTGCTTTATGTGGTCTGAGGTGTGATCAAACCCAGAGCCTCACACTTGGCAGACAGAACATTCTACCGCTGGAGCCGCGCACCGCGCCCTTTTGCTTTTAGTGTGTTTCCCAGCCAGCTTTTTCCCAGGCTGGGCCTCGGCCTGCAGTCCTCCTCTCTGCGGCCTCCAGTAGTGGGGATTTATAGTTTTGCCTAGTGAGGTGCAAACCCTGTGCCGGCCAGCCATGTGTAGTCAGGGTTGAGGGAGACACTCGGAGCCCCGCGGTCATGGCGCAGCGGGTGGAGTGCCAGCCTAGCACGCACGAGGCCCTCGGTTCAAATCCCTGTAGCCAGTGTGGGGGCGGGCCTCTGTGAAGACACGCCCACTCTGCCTGCCGGAGCCCGTGCCTTTGCCGTGGCGTGGGTTCCAGGTTGCGCGTGATCAGGTCGCGCAGGGCAGGTGTGCCAGCGGGCCTCCCCTTCCTCCCGCCCCGCTCACCCCCCCCCCATGTCTTGGGCCAGGCTGATGGTGCGGGGGTACCGCCGGCCCCTGGAGGCCAGCGACCTCTGGTCCTTGAACAAGGAGGACACGTCGGAGCAGGTGGTGCCCGTGCTGGTGAGGAACTGGAAGAAGGAGTGTGCCAAGTCCTGCAGGTGAGCCCACGCCCGCCAGATGGGGTGCTCCCCCCCCCGCCCCTGAGCGCACCTCTCCTCACCTCTGCTCCCTGAGCGTGTGGCCTCCGGAGTGTTCCTGCTCTTCGGGCCCCTTGGGAGCAGGGTGGGGAAGGGCTTCCGTAGAGGGAAGCGCCAGTGCAAAGGTCCTGAGGCAGCCGGGGTGGCATCCGTGGGGTGAGGGGGGCGGGGCAGCAGGGGTTAGGGGTGTGTGCGGGGGGTCAGGCGGGGCTGGAGCAGTGGGGGAGGCGAGGAGACGAGGCTGGGACCCAGGGGGAGGACTCCAGGATGGGCCTCCCTCCCAGCCTCAGCCTGGACTGGAGTGTAGCCTGCCCTCCCCTGCCCTGCCCTACCCTCCCCTCCCCTCTCTGAAGGGATTTCACCGAGCCACTCCCCTTCCGGTCCCATCTCCCCCAAGTCTGACTCGTGCAGCTGTGCCGACTTGTACAGATGCTTCTAGAAGCGTCGCGCAGTAGGGCCTCCCCGTCCCGTCCCGCGCGAGCCTTTGTCTGGTGACTGTGTGGCGATGGCGGCGGCGGTGGCCTGCTGCCGGCGGGTCCGATCTCGGGGTGCGATTCGGCCCCCAGGCAGCCCCTCGTCCCCAGCTCTTCCCTCTGCTGCGCTGCAGGCAGCCGGTGCGGATCCAGTACTCCAGCAAGGAGCCCCCCAAGCCCCAAGGGGGCGCCCCGGCAGACGCGAGCGAGGAGGCGGAGGCGCTGCTCCTCAAGGCCCCCCAGAAGGAGCGCAACCCCTCCCTCTTCCGCGTGCTCTACAAGACCTTCGGGCCCCACTTCCTCATGAGCTTCCTGTTCAAGGCCCTCCACGACCTCATGATGTTCACCGGCCCCGAGATCCTCAAGTACGAGCCCACCCCTCTGCGCCCCCACCAAAATGGGGGGGAGGCGAAGGGTTGGGACTACAGGCAGACCTCAGCTACCGGGCATGGATCAAGGCGAGGGTCTCTCTTCCTCCCTGCAGGTGGCTCATCGCCTTCATCAACGACCCGCGGGCCCCCGACTGGCAGGGCTACTTGTACACGGCGCTGCTGTTCGTCAGCGCCTGCCTGCAGACGCTGCTGCTGCACCAGTACTTTCACATCTGCTTCGTCAGCGGCATGCGCATCAAGACCGCCGTCATCGGGGCCGTGTACCGCAAGGTCGGGACCCCGGATGCGGGCGCGGGGGGGGGTGGAGGGGGGCTTACCTGCATGGATGGCTCGCGTTCCCCTCTGGGGGGCGGGGGGCAGCTCAGCTCCAAGTCTTCAGGCTGCCCGCCCATCCTTGGGCAGTGGCACACCCGGGCAACTCCAATAAAGCATCCGGCCAGGCATGGCGGTACACGCCTGTAATCCCAGCGGGGCCGCACAGATTACAGAGATGTCAGCCCGACGCAGTGCGGCCAGGGACAGGGGACGCCCAGGGGGCTGCCACGCACAATGGTCTCACTCCCAGTGCCAGGAGACGAGGCCCTGTGGGGTTCCGGGGGCCTGTTGGATGTGGGGACCATTGGGACCCCCTGAACTGAAGGAGAGCTTCCGGTCCCCCGGGGCCTGGGCTTCATGGAGGGGGCGGGGGGGGGCAGGGGAGAGGCGGGACTCCGCTGCGGATCCTCCCTCCTGTCCAGGGCTCCTCGCCCGCTGGGCTCACCTCCGCCCCTCTCTGGCCCCCCTCAGGCCCTAGTGATCACCAATGCCGCCCGGAAGTCGTCCACCGTGGGAGAGATCGTGAACCTCATGTCGGTGGACGCCCAGCGCTTCATGGACCTGGCCACGTACATTAACATGGTGTGGTCGGCCCCGCTGCAGGTCGCCCTGGCGCTCTACCTCCTGTGGCTGGTATGTGCGTGTGTGTGTGTGTGCGCATGCGCGCGTGTGTGTGTGCTTACTTGGAGATAAAAGAGTCTCGTGGGACTTTGCCGCCCAGGCTGGCCTTGAACCCCAGTCCTTCGATCGCAGCCTCCTGAGTGGCTGGAATGACAGGTGTCCAGCCGCATGTCCCGCCCTCGGGGCTCTGGAGATCAAAGCTTGCTTGGTTCCGTTAGTGGCAGAATCCAGGCTGAACGGCTCGCGTGTCTGTGGTCCCCAGAGCGCCCCACGCTGAGTTACGCAGCCGTGTTGGCCCTCCAGGGGAACCCCGCAGCACACGTGGCGCCCTCCCGCTAGCAGCCATGGCAGGGTGCAGTGCTGGGGTGAAGCCCACGCCGCCCCGCACCCTGAACCCTCGGGGCTTGCCTAGCTCAGCAGCCAGTGAGGGGCTGCCACCCCCCCCCATCCCGGGTACGGATCATGAGCTGGTTGTGTGGGGCCCTGGCGCCCCACAAACGCCAGCTTCTCCAAAGGGAAGCGCGATTCGGCGCACAAATCCCCAGCCCTCCTCCCCAGCCAGAAACGCCCTTCCCACCCGTGCCCCCGGCTACCCAGAATTCCACGCTTCTCCCTCCTCAGCGTGGGGACCCCAAGGACTTGGGTCCCGCCTATTCCGAGAGGTTGGGAGGGACCCCAGGGCTGCAGCCCGCCAACGCCCCATCGTGGTGGGGGTCGGGGTGTCGGGCGGTGTCTGTGGGGTGCGGGCTGGTGGGGCGCTCTGCCGACGCCCGCCTGTCGTCCCTCAGAACCTGGGCCCCTCCGTGCTAGCGGGCGTGGCCGTCATGATCCTCATGGTGCCTTTCAACGCAGTGATGGCCATGAAGACCAAGACCTACCAGGTAGGCTGTGCGAGCCCCTCACCGGGGCGGGGGGGGGGGGCTGGGCACGCCCCCCCCACGCTGTTCCAGGGCTTTCTGCTGAGAGGCCTCCTGCCCCCCGGCCTGTGTGTCCCGTCCACTCTCTTTCCATTGGGTCAGATCTTTTATTTCTGGAGTTCCTTTGTAATTTGTTGGCTTTTAAATAACTAACAATAAAGGGAACTTTTTCTCTTTCTCTCTTTTTTCTTGGCCAGTTGTGGGGCTTGAAGCCAGGGCCCCGATGCTGTCCCTGAGCCCCTTTGGTGCTCAAGGCGAGCGCTCTACCACTTGAGCCACCGCGCCACTTCTGGTTTTTGAGGGGTTCATTGGAGATAAGAGTCTCATGGAGCCTTTTCGGCCCTGGCTGGCCTCAGACCGAGATCCTCAGCCCTCAGCCTCCTGAGTAGCTAGGATGACAGGCGTGACCTAAAACAGTTAAAACTTTGGTCCTTTTTTTTTTTTTTTTTTTAATGTAGGAGCTCTCTTGGAAGATCTGGCCGCTCACGCGCCATCTTCTGCTTTCAGGACTTTCTTAAATACAGATCTGGCTGTGCTTCTGTGATGTTACTGGTCTGGGCCGTGTTGTATGAATTCAGTTCTAGTCCAGCCCTGAGACCCAGCTGGTCTGGAAGTGTTTGTGCTATGCCGGGGTGGGGGGGTGGGCTGTGGACAGGAGCGCTTGGCCATGCTGACCACCACAGGGGGCAGAGTCCAGGACACGTGACACTCCTGGGCGTGGGGGCCAGACCCCGTGTCCTGTCTTCCCCTTCCCCCTCCACGTCAAGCGGCTCCCTCTCTGCCTGTGATTCCCCATACCATCTGGTATGGTCCAGTTGAGCAACTATGGCTGAGTGCACTCGAAATGCTGAGCAAACTGCCCGGCCCCTGGGTGAGGCCAATGGCATTCCACCCGCTAATGCCCACAGCCCTGCCGCTCCGCAGGCCAGGGCCCCCGGGAGGCGTGAGAGAGCGGACCAGCCCGGACATAAAGTAGGGCCCTGTCTCAAAAACAGCCGGTGCAGAAAGGAGCTGGAGAGCTGGCCAGGCACCGGTGCCTGTCATCCTAGCCACTCAGGAGGCTGAGATCTGAGGATGGAGGTTCAAAGCCAGCCCGGGAAGGAAAGTCCATGCGACTCTCTTAGCTCCAGGGAACCGCCAGAAAACCTGAAGTGGAGCTGTGGCTCAAGTGGTAGAGCGCTCACCCTAAGCCACAGAGCTGAGGGACAGCGCCCAGGCCTTAAGTTCAAGTCCCACAACTGACAGAAAAGTGGAGAGGGCAGGATCGCCCGTGCCTCTGGGCCAGGACCAGCGGAGGGCATGCTGGGAAGGAGGGCATGCCAGGAGCGCCCTCCATCTATCTCTGCGCTCCCAGGCAATGTGGTTTGAAGGAGCTTTGGCTTAGGCCTGGAGTCCAGGGGTCCCCCGGGGGGTGGGGGGAGCTGGCCCATTGATGGGGGCCTCGTCTGCAGGTGGCGCACATGAAGAGCAAGGACAACCGCATCAAGCTGATGAACGAGGTCCTGAACGGCATCAAGGTGCTGAAGCTGTACGCCTGGGAGCTGGCGTTCCGGGACAAGGTCATGGCCATCCGGCAGGAGGAGCTAAAGGTGCTCAAGAAATCCGCCTACCTGGCGGCCGTGGGCACCTTCACCTGGGTCTGCACCCCCTTCCTGGTGAGTGGCCCCCCCCTCTTCCCCGAACACATGGTGCTTCTGTGCTTGTTGACCTCTTGCGAGCATGCGCCAGCACATGGGCCAGTTCTACGCTGGTTGGCCGGAGCTGCAGCAGACGGTAGCCTGGGTGACGTGTCGCCGACCGGCCACAAGCCTCGAGCGGTCAGTGACCCGTGGACCGCGCAGGGCCACTTCCTTCTTCCTGCCTGCCCTGTGAGCCGGGCCGGGGGAGGGGGCTTCATCTCCACGCCTGACTGACGGGCAGCTGTGTCCCACAGCCCGCGGCCACGGTCTGTCACACCGCTTGTGCACTGTAGCCCGGTCCGCCGGGCACCGGAGCTCATGCCTGTATTTCCAGTTCCTGGGGGATCTGAGATCAGGAGGATCATGGGGAAGGAACCAAATCCTCCTGGGATTCTTTCCCGGCAGGGCCGGGAGGGAGCTGAGCTGGGTGCTGGCGGCGGTCCCTGGTGGGGCCCGGGGTGGTCTTAGAGACCACCCGCCTGGCGCTGCTGCCCTGCTGCCCGCCGCCTGCTCCCCGCGCGCTCTGAACGCGCCACGTCACCTGACCCCCTCGGGCTGGCACGGCCCGGGCAGAGCCTCGGTGTGCTGGGACTCCGTGTCCTGGCACCTGGCTGGAGGGCCGTGGCGTGATGTCCTCCTTACACCCCAGCGCCTCCGCCCTGCCCGGGCTCGGGCCCGCCCACCTGGGACGGACAGACAGACAGACAGACGGAAAGGAGTCGTGTTCTACTGTGTCTTCCAAACCGTACTCCGCTCCTTCTGTCTGTTCGATGAGCCGGAGTCTCCCCGTGAGGCTGGCTCCCCACTCACCCGCCTTCCCCCTCCCACACGCTGGGACTGCAGGCGTGCCCGCCCGGCGTGGTTCTTCTGCAACCTCCGGGCCGTGCTCCACCCAGAACGAGGAGGGACGGGGGCTGTCCTCAACTCCTCTGCGCGTTCCGTCCCCGGACGCCAGCGACACACCCCACCGCGCTGTGCTCCTTTCCTGCCCGGGTCCCCGTGGGGAGGCCCCGCACGGAGCAGCAGGGCCTGCTGGCCTCCGAACCCGCCACACCGTCGCGGTGGGCGGGAGGGGTGGCTGGGCGCCGCACACAGCTCGTGGCGGGGTTGGCAAGGAGCAGAGGAGCCCGGCTGTCGGCCCTGACTGTGACGAACGCGGGGAAAATCTGTGGCCACGCCTCCCCAGAGAGTGCTCCCGCATCTTGGCATTTACTGCGTCCAACGCTCGAGGATGAGGCTGTTTGCCCAGGGAGATGGGAGGCAGAGGCCTGGGGTGGCCCCAGAGATGTGGGGCGTCTCTGAGGGCAGCGGGGAGGGAGGAGGGAAGGAGGGAGGGAGGGAAGAGGGGAGGGAGAGATGGTGGATGGATGATGAATGATGGGTGGATGGGTGGATGGATGGGTGGATGGTGGGTGGATGGATGGATGGATGATGGATGGATGAAGGATGGATGGATGGATAGATGAATTACCTGCATTAGGAACTTGTTACAACCCGCTGCATACTCCTTAATCCACCGTGACCGGGAGCAGCACAGTACAGAGACAGGACCGTGCAACTGAGATTTGGGGTACCAGGCGGCCTGTAGCCTTCCGCCAGCAACAGATCCCAAGGTTCCATTAACTGGGGTTTTTATTGGTCTTGTGCATGGAAGTACGGTGCAAACCAGCTTGGGACCGTACGTTGTGTGTAACCGGGAGGTGACCTCCTTTTTCTAGAAGGAGAGCTAGGCAGTAAGCAGCCTGTCATTTGCATGGAGCTGTCTACCCTTTGGCTCCCGCACGCGGTGCAGTGCGGAGTCTGCGTTCCTGGTGAGCCAGGATGATCGACCTTGCCAGGAAAACTGTCGGCGTTGTGAGCGTGGATGGGGAGAAGGCATTCCAACCCCCCGTCCTTTCGGGGGTCTCCCAGCTTGGATTTTCGGGCTCGCCCAGAACTGTCTTCCACACGATAGAGACCTAACTCAGAGTGCAAAGCAGAGGGGAATTTTGAAGCACACACGAAGCGTAGGAGAGGGTGTTGTTAGTGTTTCTGTGTGAGGTGTGCACGGAACCCGCCAGGACACTTCACGCCGCTGGGATCCAATGTGGCGGCCGGTCCTGGGCCCCGCTTTGTCTTAGCAGGAGTTTGCCAGGGTTCCGCTGGGTGGCACCCAGGGGAACCACCTTCTTCCGGGCTGAATACTACTCCATGTGTGTTTTCTACTCTGTGGGTTTGTGTGGCAGGTTCTGGGAGGGGAGGGGGGAGAGAGGCTGGTGCTGGGGGGTGAAGTGAGGGGCTGACAACAGAAAACAGACATGCGCAGAACAGCGCAGAAAGCCAGGAAGGAAGCACTGAGTGTCGTCAGCCTCAAGAGAGGATGAACGCTGTCGGGCTTGGGGTGGCATCCCTGTAGTCCCAGCCTGAGGGCGGGGGGGGGGGCTGGAGAGTTTGAGGCTAGCCTGGGCCACACAGGAAGCTCCTGTCTCCCATGCAAGGAGCAGGGGGGAGGGCAGCGGGCTGTTGGCCGACCCGGACACCGCACGGCGATCACCCGGTCAGAGCGTCACCGGGCGCGTGGTTAACACGCACAGTTCTCGGATTTTTTTTCCACGTAGCAGTGGAACATGCTTAAAAATGCAAGCCAGGAGGCGGTGGCTCCCACGTGGAACTGAGACCTGATGGGGTCTAGAGGGTTGAGGCCAGGCAGGTAGAGAAGAGCAAGAGAGTCCGAGTCCCATCTGCAGCTAACTAGCAAAATGCTGGCCTGGATGCCTGGCTCATGCGGTAGAGCACCAGCTGGGAGCAAGCCAGCTAACTGGGGGTGAAAGGCCCTCCCTGAGTTCAGACTCTGGTTCTGTCTGTCTTGGGTGTGAGGCTGATTGGAAGCCACTCGTGGGCTTGAAGTTGGGGCCTGGGCGCTGTCCCCAGGCTCTTTCCCTCAAGGCCAGCGCTCTGCCACTTTGAGCCCCAGCTCTAGTTTTGGCTTTCTGGCAGTGAAGCAGAGATAAGAATTATTACAGATTTTTTTCCTGCCAGATCTGGCTTTGCACGCCGATCCTCAGATCTCAGCCTCCTGAGCAGCTGGGGTGACGGGCGTGCACCCCGGTACCTGGCTTCCGGTGGCTTCCAGCCCCGCTCCTCCCCCTTTGGCAGCTGCACCTGGAAAATTCTGAGCTGGCCTTGGGGTCACCTTGCCAGTGGCAGAGCGGGAGAGGGCCGCGGCTCCGCTGGCCTGTGGCCGGGACGCTGTCGGGGCGGGCAGGCGGGCGTGCGCTGGGAGCAGGCTGGGTGTCCAGCCCGCACCTCGGCCCTGCGGCCAGGCCGTCCCGGGCACTGGCGATGTGGTGGGGACAGGAGACCACTCCCGCTCAGAGCTAGTCGTATTACGATGGGGTCCAGGCGTGGTGGGCATGCCTGTAATCCAGGCACTCGGGCAGGTGGAGGCTGGATTCCAAGTTGGAGGCCAGCCTGGACCGCAGGGGGCTGGGGGGGGGGTACCTGGGGTGGAGAGTGGAGGCCAGTGCGGAGACGGGCCGCGGGGCCCCGGGGCCGCGGCTCTCCGCACAGTGCTCAGCCCCCGCCGCCCCGCCCGCCCGCCCGCAGGTGGCCCTGTCCACCTTCGCCGTGTACGTGATGGTGGACGAGAAGAACATCCTGGACGCGCAGCGGGCCTTCGTGTCCCTGGCCCTGTTCAACATCCTCCGCTTCCCTCTCAACATCCTCCCCATGGTCATCAGCAGCATCGTGCAGGTACTGCAGGCGGGCCCTCGAGGCCCGGCCCGCTCTCCCTCCCCGCGCCAGCCTCCGCCCAACCCCAGAGACAGCAGAGCTGCCCAGCGGGGAGAGCCGGAGCGGTCAGCAGCGCGGCCAGGCCTGCGGGCGCTCCCGGCCCATTCGGCCGGGGTTTTGTGCTTTTTGGGGGGCTCCCTGAAGGGGGGGCTTCTCAGCTTGGGTGGGAAAACAGAGAAGCCTTTCAGGTACGGACGGTGGGACACAGCGGAGGAGCCGGTGGCCCGGGACCCTGTCTGCTGCGGGTGGCCGCTCTGCTCTCCCCGCCTCCCCATCCTGGACCCCATCTCCCCCTCGGTGCTGAGGAATTTAACACGAGTCCCAGCCGCCACCTTAGTCACAGCCAGGCCCTCACCCAGCCCCTCGCCTACCCCCGGTCCATGCTGCCAGCGGGCTTCACGCAAAGCAAGAAGGAAACCTTGTTGTTGTTGTTATTATTATTACTATTTGTCGTTCGTGGGGCCTGAACTCTGGGCCTGGGCGCTGTCCCTCAGCTCTTCAGCTCAAGGCGGACGCTCTACCACTTGAGCCACAGCGCCACTTCGGGTTTTCTGGTGGTTCATGAGAGATCAGAGTCTCCCGGACTTTCCTGCCCGGGCTGGCTTTGACCTGTGATCCTCAGACCTCAGCCTCCTGAGCTGCTGGGACTGCAGGCGGGAGCCGCGGGCGCCCGGCTCGATTTTCTTTGTTTAAGCTCAGTGCAGACCCTGAGGAAAGAGGGAGGGTTTGGCCTGGCCACCAAGGCAGGTTTCCAGAACCTTCCTTCCTTCCTCCCCACGCCCGCCCCCGCGCCGCAGGCCAGCGTCTCCCTCAAGCGGCTGAGGGTCTTCCTGTCCCACGAGGAGCTGGATCCCCACAGCATCGAGCGGAGGCCCATGAAGGAGGACGGTGGGTGGCACCCCCCCACGAGCCCCGCCCCGCCCCACGCACCCCGCCCTGCCTGGCCCTTCCTCCTCAGCGGGCAGCAGCGCCCACAGGGCCTCCCCGGGCCTCCCGCAGGGTGCGGGCAGGATCATATTGGGGTGAGAAAGGTCGATGTAGGATCCAAGAGCTTAGGGAAGGAACAGCCTTGAACAGGAGGAAGGTGCAATGGTGGGTGTGATGGCAGCCACTTTGTAAACGGGATACTCAATCATCTGTTCCCCTTCCCTCCCCGCTGAGCTGCCCCTGACCTGCTTGAGAAGGCCAGGAAGTCCAGGAGCTTCGAGCCCTGCCGGCGGCTGCTGGCTGGGCATCTCCAGGGCACGGCCAGAGTACCGGGCGGACTCTCAGGGCTTCTCTCTGCTTTGGGGTCTAAGATTGCCTCCAAAGATGTGCAGTGGGGTTTATTTCTTCCTCCCCACCCCTGGGGATGGGCCTCGGGCTCCACCAGAGCCAGGAAAGCCATGGACGGGGCCATCCGGAGCCTGGGCTGGGGAGCAGTGACCCTGGAGGCTGGTGCGCAAGGCCCAGCATCCGAGGCCAGAGCGCGGCTGAGATCAGCAGGGCGGCCCGCTCACGCCACTTCCCGGGTCGTGCCGGCCTGACTGTAGTCTCTGATGCTTTCCAGGCGGGGACACACACAGCATCGCCGTGAAGAACGCCACGTTCACGTGGGCCAGGGGCGAAACTCCCTCCCTGAACGGGTAAGCCAGGGCGCCGGCACGCGCGGACCCAGCTCCAGGGCCTAGAGTGCAGCGCTTTGCGCTAACAAAGCCTCGGCTGGCCCAGCTGGAAGGCCGGCCGCTCCAGCCGCCCGTGCGTGGGCTCTCATGGGGACAGACAGAAGGGTGGCCGGCGCAGAGGTCACAGGTAGACAGTGGGGGGGACCTGGGGCCTGCGGGACGGGGCGCCCCGCCTTCAGGTCCGGTGTGATCCAGCGCTGACAGTGGGATGGGGTGCTGAGCACCTTGTCCGGGTCTTACCTTTCTCTCGGCCCGGGATCCCCAATACTCAAGACCACGGGGACCTTCTCGTGTCCCTAAACAATTCCTCCCGGCTGCCTGCCTACAGAGGGCAAGAAGAGGGGACACACTGATCCCAGAAAGGAACCCCCGTGCCCCCCGCTGAGAACTCCCGCGGGAGCACGTGTCCCGCAAGCGCTTTCTTGGGCCTCGCGGAAATCCTTCGTGCTCTCCCCGGTTTCTTGGCGTCGTTAACTTGTCCTCATCTCCGCCTTCGGAGCAGCCGGGGTTCCGGTGTGCGCAGCCCCCCAACCCAGCCTCGTCTGGGGTGCAGTCAGAGCATGTCCGGCCCAAGCCCTGCACATCCCCCCCGCCCCCCCAGGCCCTCCCAGCCCTGACGCACCCCACGCCGCGCCGCTCCGCCTCCCAGGGCTGCCACGGAGACACGGAGGCCCCGAGAGACGGACATGCGTGGGCCCCCACGCCGCCCCGGGCCCTGCCACCCGCTGAGCCCCGTGTCCCGCCCCCCCTGTCCTTCCAGAATCTCCTTCTCCGTCCCCGAGGGTGCCCTGGTGGCCGTGGTGGGCCAGGTGGGCTGCGGGAAGTCGTCCCTGCTCTCGGCCCTCCTGGCGGAGATGGACAAGGTGGAGGGGCACGTGTCTTTGAAGGTAGGACGGGGGTGGACAGCCCCCCCCCCCCCCCCCGCGGGCCCCCCCCCCCGCCCGCCCCACCGGCTGCCACCCCGGCTCATGGGACGGTTGAGGACACCGAGCTTCCTGTCCTCGACGTCCTGCTGCTTCCCCGGCCGCAGCCCAGCCCCGAGCCCGGCACAGGAGGCCGGGACGTACTGACTCCCTTATTTTTTGTTGGTCATGGGGCTTGAACTCTGGGCCTGGGCACTGTCCCTCAGCTCTTCAGCTCAAGGCTAGCGCTCTACCACTTGAGCACAGCACCACTTCTGCCTTTTTCTGCATATGTGGTACTGAGGACTCGAACCCAGGGCCTCATGCATGCAAGGCAAGCGCTCTACCACTGAGCCACCTTCCCACTCTTAAAGACTGATTTTCCCTTAGCATTCCTATCCTTCGTCCTCCCCTCCATCCTCCCCCATCTTCCCCCTATCCTCCCCCCCCCCTGTCCTCCCTCCCATCCTCTCATCTTCCCCCCTCCCTTTCCCCCTTCCCTCCCTCCCCTCCAATCTCCCCTCCATCTTCCCTGTTCTACACATGTACCGGGGCCTTGGCCAGGGCGGGCAGCCGCCGCCAGCTGACCAGGTCCATCTGTTTGTCTCGCCCTGTCCGCCCGCCCCGCAGGGCTCCGTGGCCTACGTGCCCCAGCAGGCCTGGATCCAGAATGACTCCCTCCGGGAGAACATCGTGTTCGGCCGGCCCCTGCGGGAGCGGCACTACCGGGCCGTGCTGGAGGCCTGCGCCCTCCTCCCCGACCTGGAGATCCTCCCCAGCGGGGACCGCACCGAGATCGGCGAGAAGGTCAGCACGGCGTCCCGCCGCGGGCTGGGAGTGGGTGGTGATCCCCGGCCTCCACCGAGGTGTTGGCCGGACCTGTGCACAGCTCCCAGAAAGCAGTGTCACCTCTGGTGACCCATGTGCCGGCTGTCCTCCCCCCCCCCCCGGGGGCAGAGTTCATTGTGGACCCATTTAACGGTTGGGGAAGGGGAGGAACAGAGATGCCAAGTGACTTGCTCCAGGCTGCACAGCCTGGGAGCCCAGTGGAGGCAGCCCCCCATCCCTCTTGTTGTCGGCCGCTCCATTTTTCTACTAGTTTTATGTTGTTGTTTTGAGGTTTTATTGTTTTTGCTGCTCCTGGGACTTGAACTCAGGGCCTGAGCACTGTCCCACTCTACCACTTGAGCCACAGCGCCACTTCTGGCTTTTTGATGGTTCGTTGCAGATAAGAGTCTCCTGGACTTTCCTGTCCAGGCTGGCTCTGAACCTCAATCCTCAGATCTCAGCCTTCTGAGTACTTAGGATTTCAGGCGTGAGCCACCGGTGCCGTGGCCGGAGGTTTTGTTTTGTAAGATACTCTTAATACATAGCCCAGGCTGGCCTAGAACTTGTGATCCTCCTGCCTCAGCCTCCCAGGGCCAGGATGACAGGCAGGCACCACCAGGCACCAGGGGAAACCCTTGTCGCTTCTAAAGAGAGAGGCTGTTTGGGCGTCTCCCACCGCCACAGCCCCCGATCTGGCGCGGCCCCTCCCCTGGCCTCCCTCCTGGGCCTCCCAAGGTGCCCCCCTGGGCCTGGAGGCCCCTGGGCACCTCTGGCAGCCGGCGTGCCAGCGCCCCCTGCCTGCGGCCGGGAGCGCAGCGCCTCAGCAGGCCTCAGCTTGCAGAGCTGGCCGGTCGTCCTTAGAGGCCAGCCAGGCTCGCCAGCAGCGGTATTTGGTGAATGATGTCATGTAACTGGTGACATCTGTGGCTCCTTGGAAAAAAAAACAGTCCACTGTCAGGCATCTTCGGCTTCAGCCGGGACCTCGAGCCCTAGGAAGTGTGCCCCATGGAGTCAAGGCCAGGGGGGCTGCGGCCTCCTCCCTTTACCTCCAGTGCCAGCCTCAGCCTTCAGCTCCTAGTGCCCAAGGCTGGCCCTCTCTGGGAACCATGTGGCAGTGGTGTCTGCCCTGGGCTTGACTGGACAGACAGAGGCCTGAAGGGCCCTGCCCTGCCCGGCCACCCTGGGCCCCGGCTGCTGCGTCCTGCCCCAGGCCCCGCCCACCTCCCTGTGCCCCGCCCCAGGCCC